TTCTGAGGGGGCCTTCCGCAAGCTTCTTGTTATGGAAAGGAGCACAATGGCCAGCACTTCCAGGAGTGTGTTTCAGGGCTCTAGAATGAAAGTGGAGATGAGATTTTATTTCCCAGGGGCAGATGGAAAAATCTCAGGAAATAACTCTTATTGGCCCAGCTCTGGTCACGTGACCCCCCCAACCAATCAACACGGCCAGGAGCGTGTGGTCCTATGACTGGCTCCCTAGTTTGAGTCATATGCCACCCTGTGGCCATGGGGCTGGGTCTGTTACCAAAAAAATGGGGCAGGAAGTAATTGCAAATATGGATTTGGGGGGAATCTCTGAAATCAGGGTCACCTTAATTTGTTTCCTCCTTCCCTAATCAACATCTACTAATGAGAAGTCACCTAACAGACTGTTACTTTCATATTTGTACACAGAAGGGTTTATGTGGTCTTAGATATAGAAGGTGGGTTGGACCTACCTTTTCTGGCAAGCCAGGTCACTCAATAAATGAGGTAATGTACCTCAACCTCCTTGCCTGCAAAATGGGGGTGACCAAGCCTGCACTGCCTTCCTCACAGAGGTACACAGAGACCCACTGAGCTAATGTATATGAAAATTGCTTTAGAAAGAACAAAGTGCTATATTTACAAACACAGGATGTATTTATTGATTTATTTATGCTCCTTTGTGTTCCAAAAAAGGATTTGAGGGAGCTTACCAAAAATGCACACAGTACAGTGGGATAAAAATAGATACAGTGATAGAGCACAGGGAAAACAAGGGTAGAAAAATAAAATAAAGACAGGGCAAAAGCTAGTACGTGGAAACCTATGCTCAAAATCTAGTTCAGATCTAAGCTTGCTTGGAACAAAGGAAAGTGAGAAACATGATCAGTTACAAAAGGTATAGTAGTCATAGATCCCCAAACTCAGAGGGCTGCAGCAGGAGGATCATTGAGTTCGAGGCCAGCCGGAGCCACACAGCAAAACCCTGTCTCAAAAAACCAAAAAAGAAAGATATAAGCCTGTCTGTGTGCCAGAAAAAGGTCGGACCGCTTATTTGGCCTCAGTGTCTACAGAAGATGCCTCCTCATCTCGAGGCTTCTGTGGGATCACGTGATCCGCATCTCCAACAATAATTAGGGAACCGTCCTTTGGTTTCATGGTATCACCTGACATCCGCTTCAGAGCCTCACCTGGATTTGATTTCATTTAACTGAAAACTGGACACCTACTAAGTAGCAAGCAAAAGCAGTCATTTTTTTGTCTTTCTTTTCTTTATATGGTAAGAGTTTGGGTGCAAGGAGCGGTACATATGAGTTTTCCCTGGTTAAATACGTGGACAAAAAAGTTCTAGTATCTTGGCTTTGCTGAGACATATAAAAACCACTAAGAACATAAAACTGATCCAAGTAGGCCATAAAGACACTGCTGACTTTGCCTCAGAACTGGGGCTATAATCTGCTGCCCTGGAACAAAATTCAAACATTCAGCTCCCACCGTATTTTTAACCACCTACGAAATTTTTCATTTCCTGCCTGAGATGCTCTGACAGTGAACGATGCTGCTCTCCCTCACCCTTGTCTCTGGAGGCTCCCTCGGGGTGGTGTTGGGGATCCAAGTGTGGATTCTGTAGTTAGGCAAGCCCAGGATGAGGGAAAGGTCAGGAAAACTGCTCTTGGGACAAATAAGCCAGGCCTGGCCCAGCCGATACAGCCCCAAGTAGAAAAGGGCAAGGGCCTCTTGGCACGGCAAGGCCCTGGGGCCGCACCTGGGGTGCCATCTACCCATCTTCTGCCCAGCCCTTGTCATTTGGGCTCCAGAGTCCGAAGCCTCCACAGAGCCACCCAGACCCCACAGCGTTCTCTTCTCTCAGAGCTCCTAGGCATCAACAGTCAGTACCAAATAGGCATTTAATTCCGTGATGCCTGGCACCAACTATTTCACGTTGTCAGTCTGTCTCCCTTAACGAGATTAACGATATCTGGAGAGTAGCGATTAGCTCTTATTTTATGCGTCTACCTTGTAGCTTACAAGGGTGCCTTATATCTGGGCACCTTACAGATAACAAGGTCGTGAAAAAGCCAGGATCCTGGGGTGTCTAAGTTGTCTAGCCCTCCCCGCTGTGCCCATTTAGCAGAAGGGGACAAAGAGAAGCTAAAAACCCACCCAGGAGTGACCCCAAGTCTCCTGCCTTCCACCGGAGGGCTCTGTTTCCCTTAAACATTTAGCTCTGAAATCCCCCAAATAGATGGGTTTAGAACCACCGCTCACTCGGGAACAAAGACAGACACACAGACAGCCACACAGCATCACCCATCTGCCCATGGAAGCCAGGCCACACTGCCTGACAGCCCCCGTGGGAATCAGTGCTGGGCTCTGAGTGTGCCTGGAGGTGACAGGACTTTGCTGGGCTCCCTGGGCTGCTTGCATCTCCTGCACACTGAGGGATCACCACTGTGTCCAGCCTGGATGCGTGTAGCTGATGGCGTCTGCAGCAAGGACAAGCAGAGGGGCTGCTGCACACTACACCGTCCAGGCTTTTGCCCCAAACTCCTAACCACAGATTCTCCAGAACAGCATGTAACTAACAGGAACCAGCATCGAAACAACAAAATATAAATGGCAACGACTGCTAACCAAAACCCTGTCACAACAAGCTGGCGGCAGGCCCATCAGTCCAGCTGTCTTTCCTGCTTTCTCCTGAGCAGCAGCGCGGGCTTCTGGGTAATTCTCGAAACGAACCTGGTAGTCTGAGCTCGCTGAATCACTGTGGAAACCGAGGCTGAGTGAGCACAAGTGCCCTGTGCTATGAGGCGGCTGCTAAATGGGGGAGCTCAGGTCGGATTCCAAGTTGGCCTCGCTCTACAAGCGCCCCTTTCACTACACACACACACACACACACCAGCCTCAGTCCAGCCCGGTGCCAGTAACCTGCGCCACTGTCAGTCCCAGGGGACACGGTCTGGCTGGGGAAGTGCAGGGGTGAAAGATGACAACTTGCCCAGTCCTTTTTAGGGTATGGGTGAAAGAGATGGGCCTAACTTGAGGCAAGCCCAGAAAGAGCTCTGTGGCTTTTTCTTGGTGCCAAACAGTCACAGAAGGAGCCACTTGTAAAAGAACACAGTGTTTTTCCTCCTGTTCTCGCCTCCCCTGGGCCGGTGCCTGTGGTAATTGGGAAGCACGGAGTCTGGCTTTTCTGGGATTGGAACCAAGGCTGAGAAGAGCCTTGACAATGAATGTTGTTGATTGACAGTTGACGGACAATGTTCTTGAGTAAGTTTTTCCTGTGCTTGGGTGTTGAGCTGAGAATTGCACTGAACAGCCTGCATCCGGCTCAGACAGGATTGACTCTGTTCTCTCCTGTGGGCCCATGGTCAGGCAGCTGAGTGCAACACTCTCTCAGATCCCTTCCAGCGCCATCACTCAATGATTCTATCAAGCAAGACACTGATCTGAAAACATGTTTCCCCCTCCCGACAATGATTTAGGGTCATCATTCACCCACAGAAACACAGGCTCCGCTGGAGAGACCACTGGTCAGGAAATGAGGAGCTCCGATTTTGGCCTCATAATGATTGACACAGCAATTGCATTTCTGCAAGTTCATCCGAGAAAAAGAATACGGTAGAACAGAGTTCTGTGTACAAGATGTCTGTGTTAGCACTATTTGGAGGTTCTGACCTATAAAATACTGTCCAATGCAAGAAAGAGATGCATTGACCTGGTGACACTATCCTGGTGATGATTTTGAAGATGTGGAAAATGTCTATGACTGTGATTTTCCTAATTGTACTTGGCTCTCCCGTAATGGGGCTCCACTTGTTAGGTGTCCAGCCACTAACTTTTTTTTTTTTTAAATTAAATTTTCATTTATTTATTTTTTGGTACCAGGGATCAAACTCAGGTCCTTGCACTTGCAAGACAGAAGCTGGAATCACTGAGCTAAATCCCTGGCCCCTAATATTAAAAAAAAAAAAAAAATCAAATAGGCCACAGTAGGGTTGAGGGTGTAGCTCAGTGATAGAGTGCTTGCTTAGGACCAGGCCCTGGGTCAGATCTCCAGCATGGTGGGAGGTGGGGAAGTAGGGAAGAGAAGAGGGAGGGGAGGAGGAGGACAGAAAAAGAAAAAAAGAAGTGGGCAGTGGAAAACACTGTGCTTCACAGATGGTAAAGTTTCTTATTGTAAATTGTTGGTTTGGGTTATTTTGATAATAGCAATTCTTGTGGTGAGCTCACAGTCAAAACATTCCAAAGGCCACAGGTCCACAGTGTACAGTACAATAGGATTTCAACAGCATAAAATACTACATGTGAGTCCAAACCTGGAAAGATTACACAGAAACCAATTTAAGATTGGCAGAATAAGGCTGCTACTTCAAATTTCTAAGTTTTCTGAGATGTTTTCAACTATTTTTGTCTTACAAGAAAAATGAGGAAGAATACAAGACAAAAAGGGGAGCTAACAGGAGAAAGCCATTATCAAACCATAGGGCAGAGGTGAAGAGTTGGACCTGATGGTTGGGCAGAATTTGAGGGGGCAGGGTGAGTGAGGGCCTTGGCATAAAACTGAGCAGGGCGGTCAAGGATAAAGGGCACTGAAGGTAGTGGGGTTTCAAAAAACCAAAAAGGCTTTTCACCCTGTCAAATCCCAGCTCTATAAGAGACTGAGGCAGGAGGACCACAAATTTGAACACAGCCTGGACAACTTATTGAGAGTGTGTCTCAAAATTAAAAGGTGGGGGGAAGCTGTGGGTTCAATTACCAGTACCACGAAGAAAGAAAAAAGCTCTGGTGATGTAAAGGGACCTCCACCATGGGCGGGCCAGCCACTGTTCCACCCCAGGTTTTATTCTTTCTCCACCCCTAAACCGGGACTTCAGGTAGAAGCTGCCCCTCACAAACATGGCCGCGCCCTTCAACAACATGGCGACCACAAATAGCCCCGCCTTCCCCTAGCTCGGGGACCAATGAAAGAGAAGCACGAGGCTTTGCGCGTGCGTGGTGCGACTCAATGGGCGTGTTCCGTGATGCTCTGGGATTCCGGGAAGCAACATGACTAAAAAGAAGCGGGAGAATCTGGGTGTCGCTCTAGAGGTGAGGGGAGCGCGGAAGTTGGACATTTTGTTAGTTGCCTTCAGCCGGCTGCAGGGTAATGGGGCTGCAAGGTTGGAGGAAGGGTCAAGAGAGGAGGCGAGGGCGACGCGGGTTTGGGAGAGGGACGTGAGGAGGTTGGGGGAGCCGGAAGTGAGGGTCACAACGGGACCCAGAAGTTAGGAAGCCCGGGGATGGGGTGACCCCCAGAGGGAGGGGACGTGGCACGCAAGTGAGGGGACCCTACTGCGAGGGACACGGAAACTAGGAGGACCCTGAGAGAGACTTGGAAGTGGATCCGACACCATAGAGACAGGTGGCTGACGGAGGGGTGGGGACCTCCAAGGTGACAGGGCCAGTGTCGCCCTGCGTGTTTCTGGTGGCCTAAGTAGCCCCCAGAATGAGGATGTTTTCCTCTGTGGTCCCAGAGCTTGAGGAAGGGTGGCGTCTTTGAGAATCGTTGGGCGCCTATAAAGAGAATCCTAGAGCTGGTGCTGCTGAGGAATTTGAGTAATTCACTGCCTGTGGAAAAGAGACAGCTGAACCACACTGAGTAACTACTGCCTGCGACTTGGCTCGTGTTCCCTGTTACTCCTCCCTGCAAGCCGGAGTGATTTGTATAGATGAGAAACAGGTTTCCAATTGAGCCCAGGTTGAAGCAGTCAAAGGATGGACCCGAGAGTAGCGCCCATGTGGTCTTCCGTGAATTGCGCCTGCATTCCTTCCCTTTGTGCCTCCTCCCAGAGGTTGGGTGCAGGGTAATGGGCTTCTTCCGGCCTGTTCTCCAGTTCAGTGATTCTCAAATTTATGATTGCTTAGAATCACCCGCAGAGCCTGTTAAAAAGGGAGAGTTGAACTCTTCCCAACCCAAGTAATGCAGTAAGATGTGGTAACATTTTAACAAGGACTCTGCATTTTAAATAAGCCACATGTGTGCTGGTAGGAGCGGTTTTAGTAGTGCCTTTTGGGAAATATCGGTGCCCATGGTAGGTGAAAGTTGTTGGAAATCTCTGAAAAGACAGTAGAGTATAAATGATAAGAGGTAGCACTGGGTAATGCAAAAGGCACAGACTTTACAGTCTGTGTTAGGGCACAGTAAGGTGCTACAACAGAGAAACCCCAATACTCAAGTGTCATCAAGAACTTGAAAATGCTAGTGAAAGAACTTGAAAGTGTAGCTGGTGTACACCTGTAATCCCAGCACTGGGAAGTTCCCAGCATTTGGCAGGAGTTTGAGGCCAGCCTGAACTATATAGCGAGACCTTCTCTCAAAAAACAAAATAAAAAAGAACATGAAAGTTTGCCTGGCATGGTGGTCCATGCCTGTAATCTCATGGAGCCTCTAGGAGGCTGAGGCAGGAGGATTGCAGATTTGAACCCAGCCTGGGTAACTTAGCAAGACTGTCTCAAAATAAAATGAAGGGCTGAAGTTGTAGCTCAGTGTAAGCACCCTTGGTTGAATCCCCATATTGAAACCAAAAAAAAAAAAAAAAAAAAAAAGGAAAGTTTGTTGTTCTCTCTGACAAGCTGGGGCAGGGTCCAGCAGACCTATCTGAAAAGGGTCAAATGATAAAAGTATTTTAGGCTTTGTCGGCTGTATGATCTCTGACGCACCTATAGTTGTTCCTTCCTGTTCACAGATATTCTATTTACCAATATGCCTACTGGTGAAAATAAATTTGAGGTCCCAGATTGGGATCTGCATTGCTTTTGCAGTCATCCATGGGCTAAACAAAACAGCAGGAAAAAATTGAGTCACCCAGGATCCATATTTCCAGCTAAAGTTGAACAAGCAGTTCTCTCCCTTTTTGTTTAAGCTGTTATACTATAAACAGATGCCTGTTTTATGGTTTGTTTCGTGCTGTTTTCGGCATTTTTGTGTGCTTTTTATTGATGATTCTGGTGTTTCAAGTGGCCCCCAAGAGTAGTGTGAAAGTGTTTAGTATTGCTAAGAACAAGAATGCTTTGATATGGCTTAGAGAAGAAAAAGGTTTTTTAGATGACTGTGTGTGTGTGTGTGTGTGTGTGTGTGTGTTACTAGGGATTGAACCCAGGTCCTTTGCACTGAGCTCGAACTCACGTGATCCTCCTGCCTCAGCCTCCGGAGTGCTTGGATTACGGGCGTGCACCACCACGCCCGGCTATTTCTGTTTTATTTTGAAACGGTCTTGCAAAGTCATGAAGTTTCCCAGGTTGAGTTTAAACTTATCTTTCTGCCTCAGCCTTCCAGGGTGGGAATGTAAGCAAGCACCACTATGTCTCGCTAGATAAACTTTTTTTCAGGTATGGCATAGCTCTGGACTGTAAGACTGTCGGCCATGAGTTCAGTTTTAAAGAACCAACTAGAGATAAGACCTCTTTAAAGAAACACATGTCAAACAAGGTTTTGTGTGGATCAGTTCATATTTTTTTCTGACTGTTAAAGATTTTTGAGCTGGAAAAGGCATGTTTTATCCTGGGTCAGATTCACCCTTTAAAAAACATGTTTATCTCACCATATACCTTTGCACAGATATTTTAAAATGTGTGCAAGTGTGTAGGTTTATAAATCCAGCTACTTGGCTGTGTGCCGTCCTGGTGTCTGTGGCACCTCCTGCTTGATAGCCACAGCTTTGAGAGTTGGGAAGCAGCCTGGCACCGGGTGTCCCCTGCCTTGCTCTCCTGTCACCCTGGAGGTCTGAGTAGTGAATGTGCACTGGTGCTCAGTAGCAGCAGATATTGTCCTTTTATTAAAAGTCGTGTGCTCAGAGCCAGTGAAGTGGTGATTTCATCAAAACTGTTAATCTGACAAGTGCAGTAAAACCCTGCAAGTGAGCAATCACTTGCAAGCAGTCTGCACTTGCGATGCAGCAATTGCCCTGCAGGCGGCGCTTCCCCCATGGTTGGCCCAAGGCCCACTGAGGCCCCTTCCAGCCTTTTCCACCATCTTCCTTCTTTTTGAGGCCTTTTCTCCTCTTTGCCACCTTGTAACATCTCAGAGTTGGAAAACGCCGCTGTGAATTTTAGCTTCTGAGAGCTTATTTTGAATAACAAGAGAAAATTATAGTTCAGATGAGAAGTTACTGGCCCTCATACTGATTTTAATGTTGTGCAGGAGGAAGGATAGGTTATATTTTAGCCTAAACTGCTAAGAAGATTTGAGCTGATGTAAACCTTGTTTTTTAAATCTCTGATAGTCGTAACTTGACTTGGTCACTATTTCATTTGCTGTGGTACTTAGACTGTCTGACCTAGAACCATTAGATGTTTCATTGCCTGGTCTGTCTCAAGATTCACAGTGTCTCGCCTGATGTCTCTGAGGGGATAACTTCATTGGATCTGGTCCCCAGTACAAAAATCTATTGGTTTGGAAAGCTTTTGGCTACAAGTTACGGGAAACTGGCCTCAGTGACTTAAGCGAAAAGGACTGTACTGTTTTTTAGGCATAGAAATTTTTAGGTGGGTGGCTGCTGGCATTGGTTCAAAAGTTTGGCCCTGTCGGCTAGTACTTCTTCATTCTGTCAGCTCTTCTCATAGTCACAAGACAGCTGCCACAGCTCCAGTCGTCATGTTCAACTTTTAAGTCAGGAAGGAGAAAAGAAAGGCAACGATTGTTTGTCCCTTTTGTCAGCAAAGCTTAAGATCTCTCAGGAGCCTGGAAGCTGACTTCTGGAACATCTCATTGGCCAGAACTGACTCATGTCCCACCCTAGCTGCAAGGAGACTGGGAAATAGCATCTGCTGTTCTTTTCTGGTCTCCATGGTGGAGGGAGGAGAGGAGGGTAGGCTGGGAGTTGGCATTGGTTGGTAAACGAACAGCATCTGCTGTAGGAATAAAAGTTAATGGGAGTCATTTAAAATTGAAGGGAGTCCCCACCGGACAGGGAGTAGGGGGTGTGGACAGTTAGGGTGGTTGTGGGCTGTGGGGAGAAAGTGGCCTAGGCCAGGAGGAACGACACCCTGACACTTGTCGTTGTTTGTGTAAAGCCATTAGGGCGCGATAGGTCACAGTTGTTCAAGGAACCACCCAGCTTTCTGACGCAAGTGGCCGCGGTGGCCGGCAGTCAGCAGCTGTGGAAGTTGCCGCAGAGGCCGGAGAGGGTGTTTGAACTGACACCCTGCTGCCTGGGCGCAGCTGTGTGAGGCCGGGTGGCAGCCAGCCGAGGCCGTTCAGGGCCCACTGCCCATTAAATGAGCCTCACTTGCTGCGGGGCAGAGCGACAGGTCGCCACTGGGCAGGTGATTTCTCCGGGCGGCCTGTGCCTGGCTCCGCTCCACTCAGGGTCAGGAGACTAGAACCTCATTACCTCACGCGGCTGGGTGGCAGCGTGTGTGGAGTGGCTGTTTGCCAGCATCTTAATTAATGAATTCATAAGGCACGGGGCGGATGCCAGTTCTTGAGAAGTGCTTTGAGCCTTTCAGCAATGAAGAAGCTTTTGCTGATTTATCCAAAAATATATATTGGGGAAAGAAGAGAAAACAGACCCCAAACATTTCAGGCCAGGGACAGACAGCCCCCAACGCTGGGCAAGCACACTGCCGCAGAGCCACGTGGCCTCGTCTCCCGCCAGGCCTTGGAGCTTGCGTGGGCCCCTCGGCTGGTTCTGCTGCCCTGAGACTGGTCACTGACTGGAAACTGGTGAGGCCCGCTGTGTGCAGCCGCCCCGCCTGGAGCTCTGTTTCCCGTCCCCACGGAGCCCGTGGGGTCTGCAGTGGCAGGGGTTCAGCCCTGTGGAGTTTGAGGCTCCTTACCTGGAGAATTCAGGCCGTGACCCCCGCGTGTCTTGGCTGTGTGACCTGAGGCCCCAGATGGAAGGCCCAGGCTACTGCCAGGGACCATCTGGGCAGGCGCTCTGGCTCCTGTGCCCATTATAATAAATGCCCTGCGGCCTCCTGACATGTGAAAATGAGCGGATTTCTAAAATCCCAGTTCCCGGGCTGCTGGGGCTGGTGGGGTAACAGCTGATGCCACTCCAGACCGTGACTTAGCAGGGATAGGACAGCTCTGTTGCCCTTGGGGATGGAAGGGCTCTGAGGACTGGCTGGCCCACCTTCTCCTGCCCAGCCAGGTGCTTTCTCAGGGTTAGGACAGACAGGCAGATGCTGGCTTCTGGCCCCTGGGTCCAAGCAGGGCCTTGCCACCCACCCCCCCACCCACTGCGTCTGTTGTGTGGAGAGAGCAAGCAGAACCCTGCACAAGGTCATTCGGGTGCTGAAGCCACGCAAGCCAGGGCATAGCCGGCTGTTCCCCAGAAGCCTTCTTTGTCACACGTTGTCATCAGGGATGTTGAAGGGGTTTGATGCGGTGGGAGGAGCGTGAGCTCAGAGGCCCGGAGCTGCTCCTGTAGAGTGGGGACAGTCCCTTCCTGCAGGGACAGCCCGATGAGCTGCCCAGAGTTTACAGTGTGCAGGCTACGCCCAGGGGCCAGGAGTGCTCAAAATGGGCGTTCCTGTGCTTTCTAGATATGAGCAGTGGCGAGGGACACAGACCCAGACCGCCCTGTGCCCCCAGTTACAGCCCATGTGGCCCTGGACAGAGTTGATTCTGTGGGTCTGAGTCTCCTGTCTCTAAGGCACGACGGCCGGTGACAGGACCCGGCTTTCATGGGTTCATGGGTCTGAAGCCCGAGAGCGTGCCTGGCGCAGAGGCGGCTGCTGTGCTGTGGCTGTGTTGCACGGGCTTTTGGTTTCGGGCTGCTCCGACTCTTGCTGTGTCATCCAGCTTGTTCAGGACCCAGACACCATGCTCTTTATTAGCCCTCGTGCCCAGTAGGGCTCTGGCTAGGCCGGTGCAGGGTGGGCCTGTGAGAAACCCAGCAGCCTCTGCAACTCGCTGGCCGGAAGCTCCTGGGAGGAAGGCCCCGTGTGACAGGAAAGGACTTCTCCCTAGACTGGAAAACTGGGCCGTGTGGCCCCCTGCCGTGGCTCCTGGGGACCAGGCAGAGCCCCCTCCTAACTGTCTAAGTGCCCGGTGTGAGCTCTGCTCAGACAACTTCAGGGGAGAGTGGAGCCCGTGCCAGCCTGTGACTCGAGCTTGTGGACAGAGTAGAAGCCACACTTGAGCCTCCAGAGCTGGTGCCCAGGCCACCTGACCTCTGCCCGACTGCAGTTGTCCGCTACCCGTGGTGCCTGAGGTTCTGTCTGCATCCAGACTTCCTTTGGGCTTTGATTCCTAGAGGCTCCACACTCCTGAAAAGACTCCTCTCGGGGATTTCAGACGAATTTTGCAGTTTCTCTTAACACAGCAGCTTTATGGTGTATAGGACCCCAGGGAGACTTCCCTAAAGCTCGGGAGCAAGGTGATGTTCCCCAGGCAGGCGGCTGGAGCTTCAGAGCCCCAGGGCAGGAAGGGCTCACAGGAGCCACAGGCCCAGCCCTGCGGCTGAAGGAGACCTCTCTTCCCTGGCACCTGCCCGCAGCAGTGACGACCCTGCTCACTGGCACCCACACACCTCGTGCAGGGCCCTCCTCGGTGGGGGCGTCCGGACTCACACCTCTCCGCACCTCGGCTTCGCTGTCACAGCGCAGCCTGCCCTCTCCCTCCTCGAGGGACGTGCCTTCCCGCGCCCCGGTCTGCCTCGCTTTCCCTGCCTTCCCCGCTCCCCTGCCCTGCCGACCCACAGCAGGCCCCAGCAGCCCCGTCTCTGGGCCGAGATCGCGTCCACCCACCTTCGTGGAGGTTTACACAACACCCACAGAGCCTTCCGTCTGCAGGCGCAGAGGCACCACATGCTCACAGAGGGAGCCCACACCACGCCGGTTTCCTGGGCTTGTGTGTCCCCCGGGACTGCAGTCCTGCCTCCCCTGCTGGCTCGTCTGGGCGGCTTGGACACGGCGCTCTGCTTCTCTCGAGATGACTGCCCTTGGGCTTTGCGTGTGCTGCCTTAGAGTTGCTGCCCCGCACCACCCGAACTGGCCCCCCCTGGGCTGTGTCCACTTCATCACGCCCCCCTCGGCTCGGCTTCAGGCCCGCTGTGGGCCGCTGTGCAGCCTGCCGGACAGAAGTCCCAGGAGGCGCCTCGGCCTTCAGTGTCCCCTCCCTGGCCTCAGCCCGCCCGACGCCTGTGCTTTCCGTGGCAGTGCCTGGCCCTGCTCACCATCTCGCATTTCCTCTGCCCTCCGTGGAGCCTGTTCCGCCCCGGACACCGCTCAGTCCTTCGGCCCCGGAGCCCACCCCGCTCCTTCCCCAGGCGGGACCTTCCCAGTGTGTCGTGTCCCACGTGGCTGCTGTCCCTCAGGCCCCAGAGAGCAGAGCAACAGCCAGGTGCAGGCCTCTGCCGCCTCGCGTCTTTGCTTTGCACCTTCTCTCCCTCTTGCCACCATTTACTCAGCCTTTTTATTCCCCAAAGATCCAGCAAAAACCATTCTCTGGGAACAACAGGAAACACTTACTGAACTCCTGTGTGAGGCACCGTTCCAAGCATCTGTATTGTGTCACATCGTCCTTGTGACAACTCTGTGAGACGTGAAACACAATTATCTTTATTGTACAAGCGTCTGCTCAGGAGCAGGACAAGGAACTCACCAGTCACATGCAAGCGAGTGACAGCTGGGGCACCTAGTCCAGTCCGTGAGCCCCACCACTGTTGAGGCTTCAGGGCAGTCTGGCTCCCAACTGCTTGGCAGCTCTGATCGTTGTGTTTCTAGAAGCTTTGGGACATCTTCCTCTAGTCCTAACCCTCGTGTCTTCCAGTCCTGGCATCTCTGGTGCCTTCAACCTGGTGACAGGGAGGACCCGAACCTGGGACCACAAAGTGCATAACCCATGTGCAGAGTTGAGAGCTGACCAGAGAGCTGTCTGGGGCTCCTCTAAGGCCTGTATTCTGGGTGCTCTCCCCCTTTCTGTACCTGCCCTGCTAGGTCAGCCCTCTGTACTCACTACTCCTGACCCTGCCTCCCGCCTCCGCAGCCAGGTGCCCCCGAGTCTCTGCCCAGGCTGGCCGCAGTGCTGTACTCGCCAGGTGTGAGCCGGCTTCCTAAGCCACACCCGAGGCTGGGGACCCTGCCGAGCCGCCCTTGGGATGAGTCTGTGGCCTTCTTCACCAGACCCGCCTCGGGCAGCCAGGCGGGTGGGTTGTAAAGAAGGGGGACTTGTATTTAGAAGGGAATCTGAGAATGTCAGCAGGACATAAATATTCACAGAGGGAGGTTAGAATTTGAATTCCTAAAACCTTGATTTGTATTTGCCCATTTAAGCCTCATTAAAAAGTGGCAAATGAAAGTGGAGCTATTCAGTGGAACTGCAGATGAATTGGTCTTGTTCAGATAAAGGACCCCAACCACCAGCTCCTCAGGCCCTGTCCAGAGCATGATGGCAGACTGGTGTGGCTACTTATGGTTTGCCAGCCTCCGTTTTAAGATTTTGCTTAGCATGCGTGCCTGGCCTTGGTCTGGAGCAATTGCCATGAGTTTGTGCACCTGATAGCCTTCCCGGGGCGCATCTTAGGGGTAGAACCCCCAACCTGCTCCCCTCCCCAGAATGACTTGCCAACCAGGCCCTGGCCCAAGAGACAGCAGGAAGGACCCTGGCCTAGGACTAATTGTAGTGTGGAGCTTGCCAAGTGCCTGGGTTCCGTGCCTATCGCTTCTAGACTCTGGGCACAGGAGGGTTTCGCGCTCCACTAGTCACGAGACCTCAGCTATTTGTCCCCAGTCCCTCAGGGCCATCCGTGCTTTCCTGAGCAGGCCATGGTGGTGGGCACAGGGAGATGGGGGGCTGTAGTGGCATCTCAGGAGCTACAAACTCTGACATCCTCAGTGGCCAGGTGCGCCTGTGGGCAAGACGTGACCTGTGGGATGCCAGGTGCCACCACTGGGGGTTCCCAGAATTTGGGAAGATACGATCTGGACCCAAACAGGAGGGCAGTGTCTACTAGGCCTCCTGAGAGGACTGGTGGCTTTGCCAGGGGGACGAATGTGGGCCCCTCCAGCCAGGGGCAGCAGGGATGGCCTCACAGAGCAGGTAGAATGTCGTGAATTTTTATTTGGACCCGGCATGGAATTTGGTGCCCTGCTTGTGGTTTCGTTGTCATAGAATGGAAGCCGCAGGTCTCAGTCTTGAGCTGGGCCGGGTGTTGGAGACCACTCCACGAGGGACTGAGCATGGTGGCCCGAGCCCTGGCCTGGGCTGTGGCTCTCTCCTCCCCAAGCCTGGGCACCCACTGGCAGGAGAGTGGCACAGTTAACAGGCAGTTAAGGCCAGGCTCTGGGGTTGCGTCTGCCACAGGCCCTGGCTGAGCTGGGGCTGCAGAGCAGGGGAGCGGGGTGAAATGGGGGCCGAGTCTCTGGCACCCAGCAGGGAGCAGTATGCTTGCCTGCAGGGGGCGCCGCTCCAGAAGAGACAGAGGACTAGCCCGGACCGCGAGGGAGGGTGTGCTGTTCTGTCCTCAGCCGTCACCAGCTAGGCAGCCTGGTTCTCCCATGTGTGGTGGGAGGTGGTTTTCGCTCCGGCAACAAGGTTGGGGTGGGGATGGGGCATCACAGGGCTCCAGAGCATCCCTGATACCCAATTTAGGCACGTGGACCCCTGGGGCCCAAGTGAGACAGGCAGTGGGGAGGTGGCGCCAGTGCCCTCGCCTGACACCAAGCCCAGGCTCAGACACCCTGGCCCGTGCTTTACACAGCGCTTTCCCTCTACTCAAACATTTCCCTGAAAAGATAGCTCTGAAACTATAATCAAAACAAATGGAAAAAGATCTCTTTGGCAGCCATCCTTTCAGGAGCTTAGCCATTTTACCACACACATTACAGCTATCTTGATGGGCAATGTTTTCGCCCAAGAATCAAGTTAGAAATAAAAGTGGGTTTATGTTGTTTTTAAATTTTTATTGATTCTCACTGAATCTCTGTATCACAACTTAAGACTGCGCTAGTGTTTTAGTGAGAAAATTCCTGGTTTCGGTCCCGGGTGGTCACCCGCGTGGGCGCCCGTGGTCAGGCTGCTCCTGTGCCGACCTGCTCTTGCTGAGGGTGGGGACAGTTCTGAGTCCTGTTTCCAGGGGCTCAGGCTGCAGCCATGGGTGAAGGACAGCAGGTGGCACCCGGGGAGGTGATGCTGGGTGCCTGCCCAGCAGAACCAGATGTGGCTTGGGGTGCAGCGCCTTCCCAAGGAGACACCCAAGCCGGTGCCATGGCCGTGACCGTGTTTTCCAGATCGACGGGCTGGAGGAGAAGCTGACCCGGTGCCAGCGGGACCTGGAGGCTGTGAGCTGCCGGCTCCACGGGGCAGAGCTGAGCCACGAGGACAGGTAGCACCTCTGCCCCACAATGTCCTGGGTCCCCAAGTGGACGTCCCTGCCTGTCCCTAAAAGCTGAGCCCTTGTCCCCCCCTTCCCCTCACAGGCTGTCTCTGGAGAAGGAGAAAAACAGCCTCATGAGCAGAGCTTCCAACTACGGTAAGAAAGTTCCCTGGGGCGACCAGCCGGGACTCCTGTTCCCAGGGTGGGAGCGCCACAGAGCCTGTCAGACCCGCAGGAGCAAGGCTGTTCTTTGAAGGATCCAGCAGCCTGGGAGAACTCCGAGTGCTTGTGTCCCAGGAGAGGCAGAGGGGCAGCCGCGGGGGGCTGTCTTCTCTCTGGGGTGACGGTGTGGCCGTAGCCCCATCCGCTCCACTCGGACTTCAGACATTGACACCGCTCCCCCACCACCCTGTGGGGACCCTGATAGTAGAGTGGGGGTACAGGAAAACAGCCCCCTTGGGTGGGAAGTGCCTCTGTGCATGGAGCGATGCTGCCACCTTCTGGGCACAGATAGGCAGAGCCCACGTGTCACCGGCCGAGGCCAGGGAAAAGGGTCTACAGGGGGCTCTTGGTGTTTCCCTTTCACCCCCCAAGGGGGAGGCCCAGAGGACCGCTGTGAATCACCTAGGCACCCTGGCTCCGTCCAGCCTCTCCCATGGCCCCTTGTGAGAGCAAGGCTGGGTAGGGCATCCGTTTTCACCATTTGCTTCAGTGTATGTTGTATGTCGAATGGCAGGCGTGGCAGGACAGCGGCAGGCTGGCTTTTCTAGACTTGGGAGCCACCGCCTCATGGAGCAAACTGCCACTCTTCAAACCGCTGGGCACCCATTAGGGACACGGGCCCCTGCCTAGCACACAGAGGGCCTGCTGTTGGGGAAAGAGCTTCTGGGAAGGTGGAGCACACGGGCCCCACCCGGACAGGCCCGAGGACTCCCCCAGCAATGCCACCACCTAGCTTGACTTTCGGGTGTGGCCTCAACTGCGTCTGAAGAGAATGGCATTTGGCAGCAGGACCTGGGGCCCAGACCTGGAGCTGACCGGCTGTGAGCATCTGGACAGCCTGGGGCCCTCTGCCTGCAGTGACGTGGACCTTGGGAAAGCCTGTCTGTGCCCACCCTTTTACCCCACAGAGAAGGAGCTGAAGTTGCTTCGGCAGGAGAACCGGAAGAACATGCTGCTCTCGGTGGCCATCTTCATCCTCCTGGCCCTGCTCTACGCCCACTGGACCATGTGAGTGACGCCTCCAGAGGATCTGGGCACCTCGAACACTCAGGCATTCAAGTGAGGCGGCCTCCTGGGGCCCTGCCCCGGCCTGGCCTGTGTGGGCCTGGGTGTGGGAAAGAACGGTACGATGTTGGCTCCTCTCTTGGCCCAAAAGCCAGGCAATAAAGAACACCAGGCCGCTGCTGTCTGCTGAGTAAATGTCGTGGTCTGAGTAGCTCGGGCAGCAGGGTGGGCACCAAGGGGAGAGGAGATCCCGAAGTTCCTGGCACAGTTCAGAAGGAAGGGAAGGCAAGCAGCTGCCGTGCCACCTGCCAACCCCCTACGGCACCTGGCACGAGCCTTGGCTGTGATTGTGGCAAGGAAAATGCACCCTGGGCCGTGAGGACGGCCCAGGGACTCGAAGTGGTGGTGTGCAGGTCCCCGGGGAGCACGGAGTTCATCATCTTGCCGAGCCCAGCAGGCCTGGAGAGTGTGGGCACTGAGTGCCTTGGTCATGACCACCGACGTACCGTGACAGTGGCCAGTGGGTCAGGCGGGGTCAGGGCAGAGGCTGCAGTGGTCGGTGGAGCCCTCACCCTGGCCCGACTCTGGCACGGGCCAAAAGGCGGGTACATAGGCACCAGCCATGGGGAGGAGGCCTGGGGAGGCACAGGTGGCCACCGGCCAGGTCAGCACAGCCCTCCTCTCCCTCCCTCTCAGCCCATCTGTGCCACTAATTGGTCTGACGCCTGTTATTTTAGTCCCGTAGATGATCCTGGATTGTCACAGTGCCACCGCGTGAGCTGTGTGATTTATGTAAGAGCGAAGGTCCCCCCCACCCCAAGGGTGTGGGTTCATTCACTCCCCATCCCTGCCTGTAACTGCACCCAGGAGCTCGACAGGGCCTAGGAGCTTGGGCTGAACAAACTCTGACTAGAGCCTCCTCTCCCACCTCCGGCTCAAGCCAAACCACAGAGCACCGAGCCACACAGGCATTAAAAATACGTTCACCTTTAATGAACCAAGGACGTACCGTCGAGCCCCAAGCTGGGTGGAAGTGTCCCCACCATGCCACCGCCAGCCTGGGTATCGGTGGAGGGCCCTGTGGCGTCAATTCCAACCTCCTAGGAGCCTCGGTGCCTTGGCTCCATGGAAACCAGGCTGGCACCAGGCTGGGGCCCCAGGGAGTCACAGGAGCATCTCTGAAAGGTTATTTCTGTTAAAAGCAACCTCTGCAGAGTGCCTTCCCCTGCCCAGGGCTGCTGCCCTGTTTCCTCTTCCCTCGGCTGAGATGGAGGAGCCACGGGCAGAGAAAAGCAGAAGAGGGGTGACCTCCAGCTCAACACTAACACGGCCAGGGCACAGGCGGGTGCCCACTGCTGCTCAGGGGAGAGGAAAGGCAGGTCTCCTGGGCCACGTCCTGCCCTCTTTGAGCTACTTCTGGATGAAAAACGGGGTGGCCCAGGAGAGCTCCGCAGTCACAGCCGGTACCAAAGACAACACAGCTTTGATGTCAAGTGTTGGGAGTGCCAGGCCCGTTAGGACCTCAGAGCTGGGCTGGACTCCAGGGAAGGGCTCGGGAGGAGAAGGAGACAGAGTCGTCTCCAGCTTGGCGTCAACACAGCAAACTCAAAACTAACTTGTACAACAGCTGCTCCTGGCCAGAAACCACAGCGAGCTCTACCCACCCAGGGTTGGCCCACGGCTGCCTGCAGGTGGTGCCGACTCAGAAAATTGAGATTTCAGGAGTCCCAAGAGAACAGCAGTGCCCAAAGCCCTGTGCCCTGTCCTCTGGGTGCCTCAGGAGCAGGTGCCCAAGAACATCCTCTGAAGGCCCCGCTGGCGCCCTAGGCCTTCACAGAGCGCCCTGCCCGGGAGCGCCAGCCAGCTCAGTGGCTGTGCATGTGGATGAAGGAAAGGACGTCCTCCTTGGACAGCTTGTCCAGGTCCTGCGGCTTCTGGGAGTCATGCACGCGGATGCCATCTCCCCACTCCCAGAAGAGCCGGCTGAAGTAGCAGACACTAGAGGAGAGGGACAAGAGCGGTCAGAGGGCCCGGCCTCACCTGGGGACTTGGGGTGCCGCGCCTGTGACTCCCAACAGCAGCTGCTGTGCTGATCACACCCATCTGGGTGGCAGGACCGCAACGGGTCTGCACTTCTCGTGACAGGCAACCTGGTAAGTGGGCGCTGGGTCCCTGAGTCCCTAGGGCCAGGCCAAAACCCTGCCTGGGCGGGCAGCGCTTAGGGGAGAACTACTCACTGAAATGGGGCGATGGAGTCTGTGGGGATGTTATAGGTGGAGTCCCTGGTCTTCTTGTTGTAGAAGAACTTCCTCTTGACACTTTTGCTGAAGCCCATGGTCCAAGGCTCTGATGAGAGGGAGAGGGCCGTGCTCAGGCAGGACATGGACCCGGGAGGATGAGGGCAGCCTCCACCACCATCCCCAAGGGGCTTGGTGACGAGGATGACGATGGCCGGCCGGGCACCCCTGCTGCCATCTCCGTGTGTCCACTCCCTCCGCCCAACACCAGGCCCTCAGAGACCAGAAAAGGCTCGTGGGACACGGTCCCCTGAGCTGGCTTGTGGAGCGCCCCAGCAGGGTGCACTCCGCTCTCCAGGCAGGGTGGGGCTGGTCCCTGTCACCCACCGTTCACTGTCCTGACGATGTAGAGGCCCGTGGGCACGAAGTGCCGGTCGTCCCTCCCTGTGTAGCTGAGCCTCGGGGTGCCGCTGGAGCCCTTGATGATCTTCATTTCCAGCCTGACTCCCCGAGGTAGCGCGCAGACAGAAGTGAGACAGAGCGCGCCCTCACGTTAGTCTGGGGCTGTGCCGAAGCTACCCCAACCACCTCCTCTGACACAAACGGAGGCAGAGACAGCCAGGTGCCCCAAGCCATGCGGCATGGGCTGGTGGCAGTGCTGGGTTAGGACGCAGGGGGGCGACAGCAAGGGCGAGACCTGAGCCTGGGTCAGTGGGTCCTCACTCACTCCTCGTCACCAGCTACTAGGTAAGTGGTAGGGACTGTGCCACGCCAGAAGCTGCCTGGCAGCCACGCAGCCCCTTGGGGCTCCCTCCCGGCACCAGCAGCACGGATTTATAGTGTTTCAAGCCGCTTCCTGCTCGCCCCTCACAGGGACAATTGTGACTCACAGCATCGACCAGACACACCGACGCTCCCTCCTGATGAGGTGCCAAGTCAGCTCCCAGCCACTCCCCACCCTGCTCCCCGACTCCTGAACGGCACTGGTGTTGCTCACCTGAGAAAAATCTTCTCCACCTCCTCCAGCCTGTACACCTCCTTCACCCTACAGCGATGAGGAGAGGACGTGACGTTTGGGAAGTAGCTGGCTGGCCGGCAGGAGCTCCCCATGCCAAGCCCACCATGGAGGAGGGACAGGGTGTAGCACCAATGCTTCCAGCTGCGCCTCAGGACCCCCAGCCCCCCTCAAAGGGGAGAGGAAGGGGAAGGGTGAGGCAGAAGAAGCCTCTGCCTGACCCCCACTTCTGGGGCCAATCCAGGTAAGGGGCTCAGGGACCCCACAACCAGACCAGCAGCAGCAGATGTCTTTCCAGGGCCTGGCACACAGGGCCCCTTAATGCACAGACAAGTTGCTTTTAGACAGCTTTGTGGGACATCTATAAAACGCATTCTCAACAATGGATCTCATTTTAAGTAAATACATTTACACGAAGATGATTTTGCTGAAGTACAGTCACCTCCAGCACCAAGGGGTTAAGCAGAGCCCTCTGGTGACAAGTGTTGGCCTTAAGCCTGGTCCCACTGTTGTCCCCCACTGTCTGATATGATAAACGCTGGCCGCCTCCCCCAGCCCTGAGGGCCCTACTCCCTAAACCTCATTGGCTTCGTATTCAGACTTCACCAGGCCTCGGTGCTCTTTTCTCATGGGCACAATACAATAAGGCTAAGTGACAGGCTAGTAACACCCGAGCGTGTCCACGAGGCCACCCACTTCCTGCTGTGCCAGGAAGCGCAGGGAGAAAGCCACCTCCCAGCACTCCTGAAGCATCCACTCACCAAGGGCAGTCTCCACCCACCTGGCCCTCCCTGGACAGAAGCGGTGGCAGTGGGCAGAGCAGCCACCACAGGGACGTGAACAGAGGGAGACCTCAGGCTCACCTGATGGGGTTCATGTCGGGCCGGCTGGGCTTGGAAACGGCTTTCACAAACTTCTCAGCAAGCTGAATTCTGTAATGCAGGTGGTACGTCAGAGGCCAGAGCTGTGTCCCCGGACGCCGCCCTGCCCTTCGCTGCCATCTGCGCCCACAGAGACCCTGCCTGGACTCCGTCCTCCGCTCTCACAAGCTCAGCTGCTTTTCCTGAAAGGCAGCTTCAGCTATGCTCGATCACTTCCGCTCCAACATCAGAGAGCATCTCTGTCACACACGCCTCCCTCTTCCCACAGCGGCCTGCGAGCTGCCCGGCCCGCCCGCCCTGTCCCCATCCCGGCCCCAGGCCCACCGCTGGTTAAAATGTTGGTTCCGGACATCGCTGCCATTCAGCACGAGGACATCAAGGATGTGGATGGCGCTGATCTTCCGCTGGGCCTTCCCCTGCAAGGACAGGAACATGTGGCATGCAGCCTCCGTTCCTCCTGCGCGGGGAAGGGGTGCGCACACAGGCAGTTCTCAGCCCCAGCGTGATCCTGATGTTTGAGCAGGGAAGGACCCAGTCGCTCGACCTGAGCCCCAACAAACCTCAAGCCTCAACTCGCCCCGTGGCTGTTCAGAGTCACCTCTATGGCCACAACACTCAAGCTCCAAGGAGGGGACAGCCTCTTCCTTCCCTGGGGTGCTGGTCACTCAATGGGCCACTGAAACCCACCCGACAGGCTCACCACTCAGGGTCCTCTCTGACACACACAGGACCGCGCCCCTTCCTACCTGGATCCCCAAGTCCAGTCACTGCCCGGCCCTGCCCAGCCCTCCAGCCAAGGCCCAGCACGCAGAGAGCCGCTCTGACCTCCCCTTTCAGCTCGTGCACGATCTCCACAGACAGCAGCGTGTCCCGGGGCAGCTCCGTCTTCAGGTCCAGCCTGACCCAGCGGTCGGACTGGCGGCCGTCCCACGTGTAGATCTGGGACTTCTACAGGGCAGGAGGAGGAGAGAGGCGCGGTTCTCAGGGGGGCCTGTGGCTGGCAGTTAAAGGCTGACGGAAGAAGTCAGGAGGGCTTAGGCCTGCTGCCTGGGAACGGGCTCAGGGCGCCTCTCAGATGACCTGAGCGTGTGACAGGGTCTGCACAAATGGGCCAGCATGACGGGGAGCAGGTGAAGGAAGAGAAAGTAAAGGAGAAAAGTCAGGGTGCATGAGGACACTTAACCAAGTGACAGAACAAGAGCCCAAGTTATGTGGAAGCAGCTGGCAGCAAAAGCAGAACCCGCACCACATGAGCACCACGTCAGCCTCCAAGGGCCCAGGGGAGGGGAGTGGAGGGGTCTTCGCCAGACAGAAGTGGGTGGCATGGGCTGCGGGCAGCGCTGCACATCCAGCCCACACCCCAGGAAAAGCTGCATGTTCCCGTCAGCAACACAGGTGAAGAAACAAAGACTACATCGCACTCAGGAGCCCCGAAGGAGAAGAAAAAGTCTCAAGAAATACCTGTGCAGAGTGAAAGCCCCAGCTCCCTGGCACGGCACTGCGCGGCAGCCCCAGACCTACCCCCATGCCGAGGAGGAACTTCTGCTGGCTGCCGGACACCATGCAGCGGTAGTCAAACACAGGCCGGATCTTCTCCAGGGTTTTGGCAGTGAGCAGCGTAGGCTTATAGCTGAAGATGTCGATCTCCGTGCCCTGCAGCCGTGAGCAGAAGACATGCTGCTGGGCTGGGGAGGCACCGAGGACAGCACTTGCGCCTGGACCCCTCTACCTAACCGTGCACTGAAGGGGACCGATTCCAGCTGCTCGAGTATTCCTTCAGGACCCCTTGGGACAGGCTGGGAAAGGAAAGAACCGCACTCGCCAGGGCAGAGCATGCGCGGTGCTGTGAGATGTCACCAGAGCGCAAGAGCTGCCCCTCAACACCGTGGCAAGAAAGGTTCTCCAGCAGCGGGCGGGAGTGGCCAGGTGACCTCGCTGCCCCGTTCAGAAAACAATATGTTATTTTCTGCCAGATCTCCATCCTCATTTCCCAGTCCCTGACCCCCACAAGACCAGCAGTGGCCCTGCGATCCAGGCCAGACTGGAATGAAGACCAGGAAGAGCCTGAGTTTAGGTAGCAGGGAGGGATGGAGCTCTGCGAGCCAGCTGTCACACAGCAGCGGGTCCTGCCTGTGACGTCCCGGACAGACTCCTGCATCAGACTGTGGGTGCAGGTGCATCTCTCAGGACGAGCGCCCGGCACCCCACAGTCCACACCTAGATCAAGGCTCCAGCTTTCACGTCCACCCCAGACCCCACGTCTACCTGGATCAGCTCAAAGAACTTAGACTTCGGGTCCGAAGAAGAAGGAGCAACTCGAGCCTGGTCCGGAATCTGAAATGAGGTAACAAAGGGCTATGATTTTCGAGCACCCTGTGGCCTGAGGCTGTGGAGAAAGGAAGGAGATGGCGGAGGAGAGGAGGCTGGAGGTGAGTACTTCACTGCACCCTGAAGGTAGGGTAACGTCCTTTCGATCTGGGCTCTCTGATCAGTGTGGCTACACAGGGCCAGCAGCGATGGAAGGAAACCGCCACTCACCACCCCTGTCCTTCCAGACCCAGCTTCAGAGGGAGATGGGAGGACCCCAAGGGGTCCATCTCACTCCTGCGGCTCCTGCCCGGAGTGACAGGGCTGGGAAGGGAAGCTCACCTCCCAGAGCCCAAGGCACTCTTTCCGGATCTCCGCCTGCCGAGGCTCACTCAGGGTCCTGGAGAGACAAAGCCCTCAGTGATTCACACCTCTGAGAGGCAGAGCCGTCGGCCCTGTACCCCTCCCCTGCTGGAAAGGACACCAGCAGCCCACGTCACCTGCCTGTGCCACAGGCAGCCCATCGGCACCATCTCCAGCCCAGAACTAGCCCTCTCCCCGCAGCCTCGGAGCCGCTGTCCCTAACTTCCCTGCACCATGCCCCTGGGTTACTCTTAATCCTCCCCACAACATCAAGTCTTGGGGACAAGGCCCCATCCCAGGCTGCTCCAGCACCCCTGAGAGCCAGACTGGCTGTAAAGACTAGATAGACACACAAAGGGCGGTGGGGTGTGAACAAGACCTTCCCCTGAAACCAGTGAACTTACGTGTCCTGAACAAAGGCATGGATTTTGGCCAAAGCTTTGATCTGCAGGCTACAGTGGCTAGGAGAAAAAGAAAGTATTTGTTCTTGGAAGGATTCCCCACAGCACACAGCCCAAGGCCATCACAGCAGCCCTCAGCTGCCCTCACATGGCCCCCAAGTCAAACCCTCAAATCCAAGTCCTGCCGAAAGGGAGGTGCTCACAGCACCCCAAGGAAATGGGAAGTAGTGGTAAGCCGATCCTAAATAAAGCAACAACAGGGCTGGGGATTGAACTCAGTGGCACCACACCTGCTTGGCAAGCTCAAGGTCCTGAGTTTGATTCTTGGTATCCAAAAAGAAGGTAAGTTAAAGCAACAATAAAACACAGGCCCAGTTCAAGCGGGCCACACCAACAACCCATCTACACAGCCAGCTGCCCTCAGCCGCTGTTCTACACATGACATCCAGCGTGTTGGTAACAACCCATCACGTATGTAATGCAGCAAGACCCAGAGACGGCCTGAATGCTAATTCTCAGACAAGACCTTTTGAATGGCTGCGACAAACATGTTAAACCGCCTAGTGGAGCCAGGCAAGGTGGCGCACCCCTGCAGTCTCATTCTCTGAAGCAGGAGGATCTCAAGTTTGAGCTCAGCCTGGGCAACTCAGTGAGACCCTACCTCAAAATTAAACATTTTAAAAAATAACTAAGCAAGGGATATAGCTCTGAGAGAAGGCCTTTGGGTTCAAGCTCCAGAAATAACCCCACCCCCCACACACACAAAGAACTTAGTGGAAAGGCAGGCAGCACACATACAGGGATGGAAAATTTCAAAGGCACAAAAACTTTTTAAAAGGCAAATAAAAATTCTAGACATGAAAAAATCTTAGGTACAACTGTTTTTATGAACTAATCAGAAGTAACATAGTAAGGGAAAGAATCTGAACTTGAGGACAGACAGATCAATACTTCTTTTAAAAAGAAGGAAAAAAACTATCTGAGGTCTGTGGGACAAAAACAGACTTTAGTATAAATGTGACTGAAGTCTCAGAAATAGAGGGAAGAAACAGGCAAAAAAATATTGACAGGACATGCCTGAGCAATTTTCCAAAACTGAAGAACACAATCAATATGCAGATCCAAGGTCAGTGAACTCCAAGTAGAAAAACACGGGACAGTACCCTTAAAGTGCTGAAGAAAACAAGCAGCCTCCAGTCCACACCCAGGGAACACAGCCTGTGGAAATCTGAGGGAGATGAATGAACACCTTTGCCAACAGCTGCAAACTGGAAGAATCGGTCTCCAGCGGATTTGCACTGCGATAGGCAGAAAGAAACTCTTCAGGCTGGAAAGAAATGATTGCAAACAGAAACCTGTTTCTCCAGGAAGAAATGAAGCACACCAGAAAGAGTAAATATGTCAGAAAATAGCAAGAACACTTTTTGAAAATTATGTGTATCTTTCAATCTCTTAAAAAGCAAAAACTGTCTAAAGTAAAAACGATACAGAGAATTCATGTAAAAACAAGAACACAAAAGCAGAACAGTAACTGCACAGACGCTGCCCAGGCATAGTCTTGGTTGTCTATAGTAAATGAAACACAGATTCTAATCTAATCTCTACTAACATGAAAATTTTTAAAAGAAAAGGGAGTACTAAAAGTTACTAAATTATTCTCTCCAAAGAAAGGAAGAAAAGGGTCAGAGGAACAAAGAACACACAGGATAAACAAAAGATGAAGGATTTAAACCCAAACATTAGCAATTACACTCAAACTTAAAGGTATCAGGAGCTAAAAAGCAGAGATGTTTATCTAGGGCAGAATGGACTAAAAGGTAAGCCCCAACCACAGGCTGTTCACAGTGAGTACATTTAATAAAAGAGACAGAGTGAAAACAAGAGGACAGAAAAAGACACCCACAAACACTAAGCTAACAGCAAGACAGTATTACTAGGGATAAGTAAGCTGTTTCATTATGACAAAAGCTCAATCAGGAAGACAAAATCTGCAGTCCACATATGGAGGGAGATCCCAACCAAATGCAGTAAATATTGACGGAACCAAAGGAGAAACACAAACCAACATTCATAGTTCAAGACTTTTCCTGGGGAGGGGTACAATACTGGGGACTGAACCCGGGGAGCTCTAAGTTACAACCCCGTCCCTTTTACATTTTTGAGACAGAGTCTTGCTAAATCGCCTGGGCTGTCCTCAAACTTGCAATCCTCCTGTCCCAGGTCCTGGTTAACTGGGACTACAAGCATGAGCCACCTATCCAGACCTTAACAGGCCGCTCCCAGCAACTGACAAAATAAGTAGCCAAAGTGTATCAGTAAGTTACAGAAGATTTGAAAAACATTATAAACAAATCTGACTAAATTAACATTTGAAGATCATTACAATGAATAATAATAATTAAAATATCAAGAGATTTTGATGAACCATAAAGCCTCAAAATTGTATAGAGTATGTTCTCAGAGTATGATAGAACTGGGTCTAACAGATGCTATATCTTAAAAATCCCAAATTATCTGGGGGTTTTGTTTAGTTTTTAAGGAGAGTTTAATTTTGTTCCTGGTTTCAGAGGGTTTCACCTGGATATTTGATAGCACACATATATACGTAATCCTTGATGCAAATAACAAAACATGAAAAGAATTTAAAATGTCAGCCATATAATGATGTGTTTTATACATGTCATACACATTTGTATATTTTAATTTCAGATCTAATATATGAAATATGAAAAAACCTATAAAATATAACCAAGTAAAAAGGTGGTTCTTGAAAAGATTAATGAAACCGATAAACTGGTAGTAAAAAGTCAAGAATAAAAGAGAAAGCAGTGTCAGTATGAATTATATAAGTATTCTTAGATATCCTACAGACTCTGAAGGACAGGATGACATTATTATAAATAATTTTATGCCAATAAATTCAACACTTTGGATGAAAGACAATAAACTGAAAAGCACAAACTTACTGAAAACACAATCTGAAACTGATAATCTCAAAAGCCCTATATCTATTTAAGAAACTGAATTTTAAAACTTCCCATAAAGTGAACTCTAGACTCAAATGACTCCACTGGTAAATTATATTAAAAATTTAAGAGATAAAAATGATCAATCTTGGGCCAGGGATTTAGCTCAGTGGCTCCAAGTCTGCCTGGCAAGCACAAGGTCCTGAGTTCGATCCCTAGTTAAAAAAAAAAAAAAAAAAGCCAATCTTACATAAATATTTCAGAAAATACAAGAGGAAACATTTCCCAGGTCATTTTATAAAACTACCATAATCCTGATACTACATCTGGGCGAGGACTTCCAAAGAATACACAATTAGAGACTAATTTCTCTCATGAATAGACAAAAATCCCCAATAAAATATTAATGCATAAAATATACCAATGTATAGAGATATTACAACAAGATCAACTGGAGTTTTTCCAGAAATGCAAGATTACCACTTTAAAAAAAAAAATCACTCAATATAATTCCTGTAATATTAAAATAAAGGAGAAAAATCAGAAAGTACTTGCTGTAGATACAGAAAAAGTATTTAACAAAATTAAACATTCATCCATGATGAAAACACTCAGCAAACTAGGGAGAGAAGAGAGCTGTGTCAACCTAATAAAGGATATCTATAAAAACATACACCTCACACCACACTTCAGGGCTAAACACTGTGACTGTGCCCAGGTATCTGTTTCACTCAGCATCCTGGGCAAACTAGTCAGTGCAGTGATGCAAGAGAAAGACACAAAAAGCATACAAACTATAAAGGAAATAAAACTACCTGAAGAGGTGACTTTGTATGCAAAAAAATCTTAAGGAATCTACTAATACCTGCTAGCATCCCTACCCACTGTAGTTAATATACAAAAATAATTTGTTTTTTGAGGCAGGATCTCACTATGTAGTACAGGCTGGACTTGAACTCCTGACCCACAGGCCTCAGCCTCCTGAGTGCTGGGATTGTAGGTGTACATCCCTGCATCCGGCTCTGCTGTCATGTACTAGCAGTCAACAACCACAAAATGGAATTTTTAAAATACCACTTATAACTGCATCTAAACCTGTAAAATCCTTAGGAATAAACGTGACAAAAGATATGTACAATCTACACCAAAAACTATAAGACTTTGCTGAGTAAAAAGTAAATAAATGATAGGTATTTCTCATTCATGAATGGAAAATTCAATGTTGCTGTCAGGTCTCCCCAAAACGTTGAGAACTTTCTTTTTTTTTTTGTACAGGGATCAAACTCAGGTCCTTGCACTTGCAAGGCAGGAGGCGGCACCACTGAGCTAAATCCCTGGCCCTGGTCTCCCCAAAATGATTGATAAATTCAATGTAATCTCCATCAAAATTCTAGAAGGCTTTTGGGAAAACTGAAAAGCTGGCTCTAAAATTTGTACATAAATGACTGGGTGTGGCGGTATATGCCTGTAATCCCAGAACTTGAGAGGCTGAGGCAGGAGGGTCACCATGAGTTGAAGTCCAGGCTGGGCTATATACTGAGTTCAAGACCCACCTGGACTATATACAATGAGACCTTGTCTCAAAATAAAAATAAAATTTGTACATAAATGAAAAATTTAAAAAACTACCCAATCTTGAAAAAGAACAAAGTTAAAAAACACACAACAGGGCCGGGGATTTAGCTCAGTGGTGCCGCCACCTACCTCACAAGCGCAAGGACCCCAAATTCAATCCCTGGTACCAAAAAACAACACACAACATAGGGCTGGGATTCAGCTCAGTGGTCCCACCGGCCACTGTGCAAGTGTAAAGTACCAAATTCAATCCCCAGTACCCCCCAAAAAACACACAACACTGACTCCGAGGCTTTTGTCAAGAAATAGTCCTCAAGATAGTATGGTACTAGCAAAAGCAAAGGACCCCAAATTCAATCCCTGGTACCAAAAAACAACACACAACATAGGGCTGGGATTCAGCTCAGTGGTCCCACCGGCCACTGTGCAAGTGTAAAGTACCAAATTCAATCCCCAGTACCCCCCAAAAAACACACAACACTGACTCCGAGGCTTTTGTCAAGAAATAGTCCTCAAGAT